TAGATAGATAGATAGATAGATAGATAGATAGATAGATAGATAGATAGATAGATAGATAGATAGATAGATAGATAGATAGATAGAATTTAATTTAGAACAATTTTTGTGTTTAATATTTTTAGACTTAAATTGAAATGTTTCAATAAACTGTGTGTTCTCTCCAGGCTTTGAACAAATGCAGGCTGGGACACTGTGTGTCCTTGTGGCAACTTCTCTCATCCCTTAAATCTGAAAACATGCTGCAGCTTAAAATGGTATGTGCTTATTTCTAGGTGATGTCATTTAAATGTGCATTTGTTAAATCTGTAAATAAAAAAAATATAAAAAAGAAGGTAGGCTGTAAATGAAGTAGTTAAAAATTATAAATTAGGCGAGACTTAAGGTGTTAGACTTGGCTGAAGTAGCTGTTATCAACGATAAGCAGCATATAATCAGTCATAAGAAACCTACTAGAAGGTAGAGGAGGCACAGTCTGAAGCCATTCTACAAGTGCACAGTGCTCAATAGCACATCTTGTGGTGGAATTTTGCTTATAGCTCCTAAAGGTACCAACTCCTGGAGGTAACACTCAAAGAACTGAATCAGAAATATTAATGTAGAAAAACACAACAACAACAACAACAAAATTACATACAGATTCCTATTTTATTTCCTGAATAAATTTATTCTCCTGTTTTTTAATTTTGGTTATTTATTAATTGGGTTTAGCCTTTAATCCAGGGGTCTTCAACGTTTTCCAGGCCAAGGAACCCCAAACTGATGACAAGATGGAGCGGGGACCCCCTAATTATATATATTGTATGAAATTGTGTTATATCAAACAAGTCCTATAGTCACTCTATTACAGATGGAGTAATGTAAGGAAAGTAATTTCACCCTGGGATTATTAAAGTATTTCTGATTCTGATTCCTGGTTGATGGGACAGATGTTGTGAATGAAACGGTGCCCAGCTTAAAAGAGATCCCGTGTGTCGCTGAATGTGTGCATTGATGACTGAAAGACATTTTCTGCCTCCATTTATCTGTTTACTACAGTGTGTTGAATTCATGTTAATGTGGATTTAAAGACATTTCAATTCAAGAGGGAATATAAAAAAAAAAAAAAATGAATCATCCAAAAGTTTCGCGACCCCCATGCAGTACCTCCGCGGACCCCCTAGGGGTCACGGACCCCCTGTTGAAGACCTCTGCTTTAATCTGTTTCAGTTTTTGCACATTTGTACGTTTGTGTTAGTTTTTTACTTGTTCCTTTTTAGTCTACCTCCTTCAGTTTCCAAACTTTCATTGTAATACAGAATATTGTTTTGGTTCATCTTTTCTTCTTGTTTGTATGAATTACTGTATATAGTATTGTTGTACTTAAAAGGATTTGTTTAATCTATGTTATTAGTAATGCTGTCATAGCTGACTTACCACTATTATGATATAATATTTGGTTGACAAGTTTACATAAGCCTTTAACCTCACTCCATGCAAAATGCTACTTTTTTGTGTGTTTTTTTTTTTTTTTTGTCTTTGATGGGTTTTTATTAGGTAATACAAACTAAACCATTATGACATTCCTGAAACATTGATTACCTTTCACTTCAAAATGCAGTTTAAAAATACAAACATCTTAGATATATTACCAAATTATTATCAAAATGTATTATCAACATTTTCAAACAACTTTTTTGCATTTGTTCTAGACACACTGTTTTTGCAACTAAGATTTACTGCAGTTAGTTTTTCTGCCCTTGTATACAGTTTTAACATGTAGAATTTTGGGACTTTCTTATCTTGCAATAAGGGCACCCTCACTGCGTAATTTGTGACAATGCTTACACAACATTTTTGGTTTTAAGAGTTATAAGGCCACAGAAGAACCATGTGCTTGCTGAAATGATCTGGTTACAGCCCAGCTGGAATATCTGCCTCTGCTATTTATTAATCAGTGACTCCCTTCTCCTCTTATTCTTTCACTCCCATTTGTCATTTCACAATCTGTGAAACACTTGTAGTTCGTTTTCTACAAACCCATACCCTAACCCGTACAACTAACTTAAATACAGATCAGTCCTCCTGTCACACCATTGATATTTGTATCATTCAGCAAGTTTTTGTTTTTTTTTCTCTTTTACAAAATATAAGAGAACCTTATAGCCATCTATGTTTGTTCAGCTGCAACAGCAGTCAAGGTCTGTTCCCCTTACAGACTTGAATCTTTACTCCTCCCAATATCATACATTTCAGTGCAAATGGTCCCTGGCATTTGCAGACTCTACCCCACAGCAAATTACAGTTGCAGACTTGTAACAATTATAGCGGATTTGAAATTATTTTTATTTTGCACCTTTTAATATGCAGGCTCCAAATATAACATAGCAACATTCAACACAGCCGAACTCCACTATTGTGCCACCTACTTTCTGCTATTCTGGACTACCTGTCCTGTTTTTTTAACAATAATAATTATAATAATAATGATAATAAAACAACTTTATTGATGTCACATTAGAGAAATTTACCTCTGCATTCAACTTATCCCCTTGGGGAGCAGTGGGCTGCCATCTTGCTCAAAGACCCAGAGTGGCAACCTGTGGGAGTGGGGCTTCAACTCAGAACCTGAGGATTCTAAGCTCTATGCCCTAACCACTAGGCTGTCACTTCCCAATACAGTGTGTAGTTTTGTTTACATCGCTACCATATGATTGACCTAAGTAATTTACATTTTCTTATTGTGTTTATGTAGGATCCCTTTTCAGGATATGCAAAAGAGTACCAGGAGCCACTGACTGAACAGAACAAGACAGAGCTTAAAGGCTTCATGTCCCATTCCAAATCTCACCAATGGCTGCTGGAAATGCATGAATTTATCCTACTGAATCTCAGCCATCCACATGCCACAGATCGCTACAAGCCTTCCTGGGGGTAAAACAAACACGGCTGAATTTATTTTATGTTCATTATATGATTAGATGTTGGAATTTGTCTTACTTTTGCTTGACCACAAACATATAAAATTACAATAAGTAGATTTATACATTAATACTTGCTTGGGCTCAAAATATCAATGTATTTGTCTTTTAAGTGTCCTGAGATACTAATGCTATTTTTCCCTGATTTTTCATAGTGTTAAAGAGGCAATGGATCTCTACATGGATCAGAAACAAGAAGAAGTTCCTGTTTATGTTGAGCAAATTTTTCCAATGAATCTGCTGCTTTCACAGATTTTGGAGACTTGGAAATATGTGGTCACATCCAAACGAGAGTGGATGGAGGGGTGAATAGGATGAGTCAACTGATGATGTATTAGGCATTTTACAAAATGAAATATTCTTTTAGGCTTTTTTGTATTGTTTTTTTTAGTATGTATTATACCATGTTTTTTACCAATCCTGAACCAAATGATCTTGGATAGCTGTATGATGCACTAGTTAAGGGAATTTTGTAATATGTTAAAGTATAATTTTAAGTTTATTTTTTTTCTAAATGGTTAGTCTACCGCACCCGTTAGAGGCAATTTGTTCCATGTTTTATTTTTTATTGTTTTGTTTCATCAAATAGAAGTAGTCATTTAGACCAATTTCTTTTTTTTTTTTTTTGCATAAGCATTTTCTTTTATACTGATTTTTCCACCCATTTATGAAACAAAACATAGTGAGGATAAATACAGTATTTATTTTTAAACCAAAAAAATCTAATTTCTTTTTAGCACAATATTTCTTGATATATTGAAAATTTTACTCAAGAGTAAGTTTTTATATAACATAAACATAAAATTTTTCCTACTTTTTGAACAATACAAGTTTTACTGATCAGTTTTTGGAGTTATTTTTCTATATATTTTAGCTTATACTGTTTTTAAAAATAGGTACTTTTATTCTTTTGTGTTTTCATTGGTCGTTTAACCTTTTTTTATTAGAAACATGAAAAATTTGCATTTATTATTTCATATTTAAGGATATGAGAATTTAAAAGATACACAAGATGTATCTTCCTTCTGTTCCTTTTTGATCACGTATGAAAAAAAAAAAAAGATCTAACAATGACATGAACAATAAATAAAAACAACCTGTACCTTAAAGATGTCAGATGAGACAATGGATAGTAAAATGTTTTAAAGGTTTAAATAAATTATTTAGTGAGGTTTGTTATCTAACAGCTATTTCTTAGGTTGAAGTTTTATTTTTTACTTCTTTTTTTTATTGTGGTGACAGTTTTTAACTATATATATTAACTTCTTATAATAAAGTTAGCAGAGAACTCAAGGCTTCAGAAGTTAAAGTGAATAAGTAACGCTGAAATGGATAATTTTGAACTATTTCTCAGGATAAGATTTTATTTTTGAATTTTATTATTGTAGATTGTTTTAGATTTTAACCAGATTTGCATTAAACCTTTGTTCTAAATAATAAAGGAGAGGCTTAAAGAAGTGCTAAAATTAATGTTTAAAAGCAATGTTGACATGGACATTTTGAACTATTTCTCAGGATAAGATTTTATTTTTGAATTTTATTATTGTAGATTGTTTTAGATTTTAACTAGATATGCATTAAACTTTTGTTGATAATAATAAAGAACAGGCTTACAGAAGTGCTAAAATTAATGTTTAAAAGCAATGTTGACATGGACATTTTGAACTATTTCTCAGGATAAGATTT